GGTCTCGGATTAATTCCTACAAAGTACAGTTTCCAAATTATAATGTACATGTCTCTATTTTAAAATATGTCTGAGATGATAGTAAAAAATATATATATTGCAGTTTCCATTTTGCATGTAATGTTTACATTTTAAAACTTTTCCTTCCCCACTTGCAGGGAGCATGTTTTCTAGAATTCCTTAAAAAAATGAAAAAAAAAAATTCTGATGACATTTTAAGTTCAATTTTAGAAGTTTGAAGCTGTATTAAAATTTTTTTGTTTATTTTTGAACACTATTTATTTTAACACTATTCAGAAACATAATAAGCCCCATAGCTAATATGTTACATTTTATTTTAAAAATTTTTGAAAGCAGTTTCTGCTTAATAAAGGTCAAAGTAGCCTCTCTTTAGTTAAAATATTTCTTCCTATTGCTGTAATGAAACAATTTGATATTTTGATATATTGTGATCTACTTCTGTTGTCACAAACCAATCTAAAAAGAATAAAGTTCAAATAAACTTATGATGCTTTAAAATCAGAAACCAAAATATGATTTTTTTTTTACAGAAACATTTGTCTTGAGAAAAAAACTGACTACTTTCATCCTGAAATGAATGAATCCCAAACTGCTAATTTCTTTTGTTTTGAATTCTGTTATAAAACATCTGAAACAGGAAAACAGTTTGTGGTTACTACCTTAATAACGTAAAAAGCATAACTGGTAAAAATAAACTGTAGATTGCAGCTCCTTAGTTTTATAGCAGTGCAGTGGAAACTGTTGTACTCTCCCAGTGGCAATGAACTTTCAGACAAAGGTGTAGACAATTTTTCAGTGTTTACTATACATTAAAGGCTGTAGAAACATTTCCACAGTTCCATGTTGAGCTAAATTCAGGTACCTCATGGTACATTTCATACGGTTTCGCTTTGTTATTTGTGTTAGAACTGGTTATATGTATTTCTGGCAACAAGGAGACATCTCCTAGTATTAGCGAAAGCATAGATAAAATAATTTATTCAGATCCCTTGCTGTATTGTAGCTTTAATATTAACAAGACATCTGTTGGTTTGGAAATCACTGTTTGGCTTTCAGGTAGAAATGTATTCTTGGCTTTGTAGTTATATAATTGAGATATGTCTCAATGAGACAACTGAATGTGGATACCGTTCTGTCTCCTGTGTAGTTAAAAGGAAGCTCTTTCCCCAGAGATTTGTCATCTGATGCCTTTAGCTACCAGTTGGCTCTGTACTGGCAAACTTCTTCTTGGCCAGTGGGATGATTTAAGTGAATGAAACTTTGCACATTCATAAATGCTGGGAAGAATCAGGGCATAAGTCAGGCATTAATCTTAAATAATGTTTACAGCATGGAAGAAATATGGTCCTGTGATTAAGGTATTAGGCTGAGACTGAAGTGGTTGGGTTTTCCTCTGTAATCTGCTATCAGTTTGAGTTTGACCTTGGGTACATCTCTGTGCCTCAGAAGCCAGTCTGCAAAAAAGGGCAACTTCCCAACCTCGTGGTGATGTTGCGAGAATAAATGTGTTGTAAACAGTGGAGCTCCAAGATCCTGTGGTAATAGAGACCATAGAGTTAATGTTAATTGCAAAGATCATTAGGAAAGTAGGACAGTGATTATAGTGAAGGACACTGTAACTTGCTCAGCTCCGGTCATTGGTGACATAGAGTCTTCCATGTGGGAATGAAGATTTTTTTTTTTGCCTTCACTGTTTTTAATTTAACTTACAATTGGCCATCTCAGTACCATGATACAGAGCACAGTAAACACACTGGCTATAGATACTCAATGAAAAAGAAATTATGCTTTTTTCAGTTTTATATAAGAAGTTAGAATTTTACTGTGAAGTATGTAGAAAAAACAGGATAAATCACCACTCTTTTTCATTATTATTATTTTTCCCTGCATTGTGCTGCCTGTGCCTGAAATTAGTTGGCCCAGTGCATAGCTGACTTAATGCGGCAGCAGAGCACAAAATCTCTCCTTTGCTGTGCTGTCTAAAAAACAATTTGGCCACAAGCACCCTGTGTGTCTCATTGTTTCCTTGTATTACTCATCTGCCTATATTCACCCATTGTTTCTTGTCTTATATGAAATTATAAGATTTTTGGGAAAGAGAACATTGTTATTGTGTTTGCACAGGATCTAGCATGTGGGGGGCTTATTCCAAGAAAGAAGCTCCCAGGCTTACTGGCAGTATGGATAATAATACATGCCACTGCTTTTTCTGCCCAGTAGTGCAAGGGCTAAGTTTTGGCTCGTGGGTTCTAGGCAGTCCTTTCATGCTTTAACTTTTCATATGGGTTTTTTTAGGCCTTTCTGGGTTTGTAACACATAGAATTGGAAGTTTTGGTCCCTTGCTATCACAGGCAATTACGTCATACAATCCCTTTCATAAACTTTTCAAGTGCCAGTTCCCAGCAGTAGTTCATATAGTAAATGAGTCTCGTTTTAGTTGTTTCTAGAGAGACCCAGCATGATTTTGCAACATCAAACATCAGGATGGTGAGCCAGTCCATTAAATCAGACTCACAGCAGTAACTCAAAGCCAGTGCTTTAAATAAACAAACAAACAAATAAAATAAAATAAAAACGAAGAAAAAAAAAAAAGGAAAAGATGGAATGAGCAGAAGAAAAGGGAAAACATTTGCACTGTTAATGGGAGGGGGGTGGTTTAAGAGGAGGAATTTAAGTCCTTCTTTGAATTGTTACCTTTGTTAAAATGCAGTGCGTTCCTGGGGCCCAAAGACCTTTTCCCGTATAAAGAATATAAAGATAAGTTTGGGAAGTCGAACAAGCGAAAAGGATTTAATGAAGGCCTGTGGGAAATAGAAAACAACCCTGGAGTAAAGTTTACTGGATATCAGGTACATGACTTTCACTTCTATTCCTCCTTATCTTTCTTGTTTTCTTCTTTGAAGGCTTCTTGTCAATGTAAACTTTGTCTGAGTGACGTGGAAGATCTTGGTTTTGGCAGCGCTAGAAATTTTCACAGCTTTTGTAATTGTGTAACGTAAAGACAACTGTGGTTTTGCACTCTGTGACAAACTGAACTTTAATCATAGTGCAGAGCCCTTTGCTTTCTGTGATATTCTGGGGTGGTGAAGTGGAAAATTCTGCAGCAGATTTAGTTGAATTAAAAATGGAAGGTTTTATTTACTCCAATATAAACATGAATAATTTCTGACTTCTTCCCTCTGTTGTTTATTTTTATACCAGATTCAGTGTATCTTACACAGACCTTAAGGTCACTGCACTTTTGATTTTTACATTGGTAATGTGTAACACGTAGGACACCACTGCCAAAGCTTTGAGGGGTGAGAAGGTGGAGGTTCACGCTGCTGTTACGAGATAGTAGCTGCTGTACAACAGCTCTCCCTGTTGGATGTCCAGAGCAAAAAGTCAGTGAAGCTGGAGGGGGAGAGGAGTAGTTGTTGGGCTGTATACAACCAAAGAACTTTTCTTATTAAAAAAATGTGGTCCTTTGAAGGCAGAAAATCACCTCCAAAAGAAGGCGAACACCTATTACATTATTAACACAAAACCTTACAAACCAGAGATACAGACCACCTGCAGACAAGCTGCTGCCCCTCTCGGTTCCTGTTTCATATTTTCAGCCTTACAGATGTTTTGCATACACTTGGAGATTTAAAAAAAAATCTAGTGAATAGTCTGTGGGAGGTGGACTGTCAAAGAGCTCTCAGCTTTCTGGTCAGCGTTTGCTTATTCCTAACAGAGATCTTGCCCTTTGGGGGTTTTGTAACAGCCAGCTTCTCTCCTGAATAAGTCTCGCTTATTGCAGCCAAAAGTTTCCATAGTTTTGCCCAAAGTAGAACATGCCAGGTCTCTCCACTGAGCAACTCTTAGTTCTCCAGCAAACTCGTTTTTGTTATCAGATCTTCTGTTTCTGTGTAAACCCTTCGGAACATGCTATCCCAGAATCTGCATCTGATAACTGTTTCCAAGTGGTGACTGAGAAAATTGGCTTTGCAGCTCTTTTTCTAGATAATTGCAAGAATAACCTGAGCTCTTCCTGACAACAGCGATTGAAGTGTAAGCTGTCTGTTACCAGTATTTCTGTCTTCAGTACAAAACAAAAATTAAGTAGTAGATTTAGTGATACTTTTATTTATGTTATTATTGTTATTCTTATTCTCACTGTTCTTTTAAAGGCAATTCAGCAACAGAGCTCATCAGAAACTGAAGGAGAAGGAGGAAATACAGCAGATGCCAGCAGTGAGGAGGAAGGTGATCGGGTAGAAGAAGATGGAAAAGGAAAAAGAAAGAATGAAAAAGCAGGCTCAAAACGGAAAAAATCCTACACTTCAAAGGTTATCTTCTGAGTTTTTTCCATTGTTACCCATGTGCATTTATAATTAGAATACTGTCCACCTCATGGCAATCTGTTCTTCCTTCTTCAGCATTTTGGTTCTAGTACCATAACAATGGTGTTCAAACAGGCAAAGGGAAGTCCTCTTGCTTTAGTAGACAGCCTTGGTGAGACAGCAGTTGAAACACTCTGCCCTGTTCTAGTGCCCACGCTTTGAGAAGGAGGTGAAAGTATGGGAAGGAGTTCAGAAGGGATGGAAAAAAAATTCGTTCAAAGATGGATTGATAGGTTTGATCATCTTAGATAGGTATTTCCCCATGAAGAGCAAAAAAAAGCCTTAAGGAGCTTGCCTCCTGGGAGACATGAGTTCAGGTTTGGTCCTTGTCTGGGACAATCCAAGCTTCCTTCTCCTGTCCCCCGTGTGGGTGCCCCAGATGCCATGCTAAAAGATATGGTAGGGTCAGATGTGCTCAGCTGCTCGTGTTGTAGCTGAGTGTGAAATACTTCAGTACAGGATTCAGAATGGGAGAGAGGAAGAACTCATCCGTGTTGTAGCTGAGTGTGAAATACTTCAGGATTCAGAATGGGAGAGAGGAAGAACTCATTCATTAAGCAGGGAGTAGGGCACTCAATTTGTAGATAAAAGACTTGCATTGTAGTACCTACCTGACCTGTTAATGTCTAAGTAACAGCATAGATGAGGAAGCTAAGAGTAATGTTTCTCAGACTGCCTCATAATGGCTGGTGAACGTAATCACCTGCATAGCGACAACTTTGGGTTCAGGTACACGTCTCACTTGTCACCTGGGTGAAAGGGAGCAGAATTATAGTCACTTCTTCCAGTACTGTGTGTGTCTCCAGCTTTATACTTTGATTAAAAAATTACAGAAACTGTGGAAGAGTCATGTTCATTCACATTCATGTTATTCGTCTCTGAAAGTGAAAACTAAATGAAATGAAAAGAAGCAAGCAAACAGTCTGATCCAGCTCCAATTTGGGAGAGAGCAGGGGTGTTTGTGGTTCATCCACTGAACAAAATGTATTAAGTAATTTCACCCACTTTGTGTGTTTTACATTAGAAATTCAGGTCTGGGCTACCATCTTCTTTCCAGAAGACTCTGGGCAAACAGAGGATAAGGAAAATGGTGGCTTAATGCCACAATTTATCCTTTTGTACTGCAGAATTGCATAACATAAAGGGAGCAGAAAAGATGTATTGGTTCCACATGGCTTTAGTGTTAATATATTAAAGCTGACAGCACTAAAAAAAGTATGGAAAGCAGCTCTGCTAATGTTATTCTCATTTTACATCTCTGTGTTTAATCAAAACTTTTGTCAAGCTGGCACCATCTGTTTCATTAACTAGCAAAACCTACAGGTGACCCAACACTAATACCCATCTCCTATTACTGTGTCTGTCTTACAGTCAACTGTGCTGCCAACCTGTGTTGAACACAGAATTTCTCCTTTTGCTTCACTGATGGTGTTAACTCCAACTGCTTCACCTGAAAAACACTTTCCACCCCACATATCCTCCCCAATATTCACCTTGAACAGCGAACCACATGATCAGACCACATTCCATATACATTCCAAAAGTGTCTTTCTATGGCTGAAGCTCAGTTTTTACATTTTAACTTTGTTTGTGATCATTTTAGAAATCCTCCAAGCAGTCACGGAAATCTCCTGGAGATGAAGATGATAAGGACTGCAAAGAGGAAGAAAATAAGAGCAGCTCTGATGCTGGGGACGCAGGCAATGACACAAGAAACACTTCTTCAGACTTGCAGAAAACCAGTGAAGGGGTAATCATCTGTTAATATAATTCACTTCCCATGCAGTTTGCTAGTGGGGGATTTGGAGCTCGGGGTGGAAGGCATCGCATTGCAGCGACCTGCACGTACCACGGGTGATGTTTGTACGTGGCACTTCGGTGCTCAGAATGTGTCTAGAACAGAAACATGGGACTGGTCCCTGCATTGGTACAAATTTTGCTCTTGGGAAACAATTGAATGAGAAAAGATACTATAAGCATTATTTTTGTTCCAACACTTGCATGGATGTCAGCTGAGAGGAACTACTGAAAACCATGAGCTGGAATGATGCAAAAGTGATGTGAGAGCAGAATCTGACTGTTTGCATAATGCATTTTGGCTCACTAAACAGTGGAAGCCTGCTTATCCTTTCACAGTTGTTTAAAATTTGTGCAGACCCGTTGACTTCTTTGGAGTTCATGAGGGTTGATGTGCACTTTACAGACTGCGTACTGCGGGTTTTAGGGCAGATCCTGCTTGGGATATGACCTTCCAAGGAGGGGATGCACCATCTGCTCCAAAGCAGGTTCATGTGACCTCCTTGTATGTTTGTGTCAGTTGTGTGTTTGTATCAATATTATTTTGTTGTGGCCACAACAACAGAAAGGAAGGCTGCCGAGCAGGGGAATTGGCATGTGAATTGGTTAATTGTCAGCCACCTTTAACAACCACTTCTGTTTCTGAGCCTTTGGAACAGAGCCTCCCTGCTCCAGCACTTATTGCTCCAGCTCAGAACCAGTTCTTGTGCGGTCCCATGCCAAGGCTCTGCCACGTGGCCAGCAGCCGGGCTGGGCTGTCACAGGAGCTGCTGAGTGACACGAATGCCCAGGTGTGAGAGGACGCCAGCCAGCACAGGCTCTCATCTGACATTGCCGAGCTGCCTGAGCACCCAGCTGCGTGCTCAGCCTCAACCCCCTCTCACAAAACACAACCGCTGGAGAGCTGCTGTCGTCTCCTGCTTAAAGATTCCTCCCAGAGCTTCCTTTCCCCTTGTCTCTGTGTGGTACAGGGTTTGTGTTTTGTGTTTCTTTGCCTTATAAAGACTGATCGGTGGCTTGTGGGGTCAGGAAGATGGTGTGTCCAGACCCTCTTCCATTCACTCTGAACAATCAGCTGGCTTTAGACAGAGCCTGACACAAGGAGACGGGCCTTCCCAGCACCTCACCCACATAATTTGAGAGGCTGGGGCTGATGAGTGGGGCGAGTGCCTAGTGCATGTGTAGCCCAAGTTCTGGCTAGTGAACCCTGTGTCACTTTCGTATCTTTAAATACGTATTTGAGTGAGAAAACTGTCCATAAGGTCCATCTGAGGTGGCAAGAGGTTCAGTAGGGCAGTGACAGGGGGATATGTCTGTGAACTTCAGGCATGTTCTCCATCTAGGGACCAAATGCTTAGAGTTAGGTGAGTTGCAGATTAAGTGGCTAAGAAGTCACGTAGGATGTTGTCTTTGTGGCTGGTGACATTCATTTGGCTCATCCTTCTGCATGTGACATGCTTGTAACCGCTGGGAGATGGAGTCCAGCATGCTGGAACATCATGGTGCTCTGCAGCGTTTTCAGGTTTGCATTTCAGCTCCTGTGCTGAAATATCATCAGCATTCTCTGTGTCCTTCCTGCCACCACCAACTCCACAGAAATACTCACAGCCAACATTGTCATGTCCATGTGAGGCGTTGGCTCTGCTCTGACTTCTGCAACCCCAGCACTCGGGCTTGACCTCACACTTGAATGACCAGGCTTTAACTAGATCTTGTACGCTTTGAACACTGTGGGAAGGGCGGAGTTTTAGTAACGTGTTCTAAAGAGAGACGGTTTTAAGAGCAGCTTGAGATAAAAGCACTGATAAGTTTGGAGAAATTCACATCCTGCTCCAGTTATTTCACCTTGGGCATTTCTGCTGCAGAATCAGCATTTCACGTGTAAATCCTCTGTCTGGATTTTGTCAGTAGTGTAATTCTCTGTTAGGACCAGGAGGGGACACTCCATCTCCTGGCATCCTCAAAGCCGGAGAGCTGTCTTGTTAGAAGGCCTGCCTTCATCAGACACTCAGGTAAAGAGTGATCAGATTTTATGTCTCAGTTGTTGTTAAACAGCCAGTCACACAGTGTGTCTCTAGATTGACCTCCTGGGGTTCAGGGCTGGCTGTCCTGCAGCCACATTCTGCTGGACATCCAGACTGGGAGTCTGCCAGAGGGTGTTGAACTCCTCCAGCCCACACACTAGGACTTCTCTTCTATAGAAAGGAAGGTAGAAAAACCAACACATACCTGCAGAATTGGGATATGGTCCTCTTGTTCACATGCTTGAATTCAGAAAAATGTCTAGGTCAGCTAAAAGACACCACCACAGATGAGATTATGGTCTCTTTAAAAATCATTTAGCTTGTGAGAAGAACACTCGACCAACAACACACAGTCTGAAGAAGATGGACTTTCTCCTCCCCAGTGTGTGGCACAGGAGCTGCATACGCACGGCTCGGCTGCCCTGCGAGGCCAGCCAGGCCCAGGACGTTTATCTGGCCATGAGATGGCACCAGCAGCACACCAACACCAGCACTGGGTGCATACCTGCTCCCTCCCACAAAGGCAGGGTGCTGGGGCTGCAGCAGACTCACACCAGGAATGAGTGTGTTTCCAAATAACTTGCAGAGGGTACTGTGAAGGCAAAGAGACAAGAAAAACAAGTGTTCAGGGCCCTGATCTCAAAGAGAGGTGTATTTCCTTTCCTGGTTTTGCCACTGTGACCACCTGCTTAAAAACTGCGTGGCCGTGGAGGCTGGGACGGGCGGTGGAAGGCAGGTGGGCAGAGGGCTGTGGGCTCAGCTTGCAGTGCTCCCCACGGGCTGCGTCCTGGAGAGGCTCTGGCTCCTGTGCTCTGCACCTGCCAGGTGTCTGAACGTGCAGGAGCTGCCTAAAGGACACAGGCAGCTTTTCTCCTATTAATACTCGTAATAATGAGGTGGTGATTATGTTTTATAAAGCCTGGACTGCAGGCTGAAGGCACATCTCCCATCTTCAGATGAGAGGGAACCTTGCCTTCTTTTAATCACACTCTTACCCTCAGCCTTATGGGGATCTGCTTGCAGGGTTAACAGCTGAAGTCTAATGATTGCAGGAGCATCTTCACCTATATTTTTAAATGAAATTTCTAACCTCCAGGTGGTAGAGGAAAGCTTGGAAATGTGAAGTGATGGCTTCCTAAGACTCAAAACCCAGAGCAAATAAAATTACTTCCAAAGCTGTGATATTTTTTCAGCTAATTTCATACTGTTCAAGGGCTCAACTTGTGATTTTTTTTTACCCCTGGGGTTGACCAGGCTGCTTTCTTTTCTTACCTGCATCCCTTAGTTTCTCAACTGTTCTTGAGGACCACAGTCTCAACAGAAGAGACATCAGCTTCCTCAACTCAGCCACAGTTTATAACTGACAATACCTGTTCCTCAAGCTCTTCCCCTCACTGCTGTTCATTGGTGGATTGCTTCCCCAGAAAGATGCAAAGTCTGAACCTTAGGGTTTTATTATCTAATATTAATTAACTAATAATATATTAAGCTAAGACAGCCCATCCCAGAGTTGCTGAAGTCAAGAGTCACAGACTCCCCCCATGACAGTCCTCTGCTGTTAAAACTAAATTGTTTTGGCTTTCTCAAAATACCACATAAACAGAATATTCCAGTGGAGAGGTATTCATGGCTCTGAGTTGTTTACTTTCTGTGGTACAAAATTAGTTCATAAATCAGTGAATTTGTGGCAGCAGATTTACATTCCACATTTAAATCTCTGGTGACTTGTGTGTTTGGTTCTTGGCTGGCATGACTCTGAATCTTTATAACTGAACACCTACGGTGCTTTTTACTTTTACTCTCGGGATCCCCATGTAGTGATGTCTGAAAGCTGGCTCCAGTCCCTGCCCTGTTAGGGAGTATGTGAACATTAAGGTCAGCACTCAGGGCGTGGGGCAAGTTTTGCTTTTGGTATTCATTATTTTAGTTACAGGCCAAACATTGTGTTGGTAAATGAGGCATTCTCTTTGTGTACGGATGCGTGTGGTGGCCTTTGGGAGGTGAATGATTTTACTGAGTCTTTGAAAAATAATAGATTTGTTGGAAATGAAATACATTTTTTTTTTCTTTGCTCCTGTTACAGCCCGAATATTAGAGTGGGGTAAAGGACTGTGATCTCTTTACTCACGCTGACAATCAGTTACTAACATGGGAGTCAGTGGATCTATTTGTGGAGGTGACTGCTTGCCAGCATGAATAAGGGGATCAAAATCTGCTCCAAAATTACTGCCATCTGATACTATTGCAATTGGGAGAACATATTTACAACAGCCTGTGTCCAGGACGTATTTTTTGTTGTGATGTTCTTGTGGGGTAGCAACAATTCAGTCACTGCTGTGAAAGGCAAGTGTTACGGCCAGACTGGTCAGAGAAACACGGGCTCATTGTGTCCTTCTGATGTAGTTTTGAGATGTTTGGTTCCTTGGCTCTTCCTTCTTTACTTCTCAAGAGTAACACTGGTTAGGCTGCAGAACAGGTTTGGGGGTTTATCAACATTACAAGCCTAGCATTCAGGGCTGTATTCCATGTAAAAGCATTTATGTGGGCATTTTTCCCGAAAATGAAAACAGAGCATGTATTTCTGTCTGAATGTTTTTCAGCAATTGGAGGTAAGCTAAAAATCTACCCCTCCAAAAAAGATAACATTTGTAAAACTGCATTTAACTATTTGCACAGTAAAAATGTATATGTAAAATTCAAATACTCTCTGGTGTGAAGAGGTGCGTTTTCTGCTGCCTTCATAGAGCTGAGGGTAGCAGCACTGCTAAATAAGGCAGTGGGACATAACTCAGGAGAAACATACATGTCTGAGTGCAAGTGGAGATTATAGCAGCCAGTATAGATGAAATACACTCTGCATCTCTGTGTACACTGAACCCTGTAACCATTCTGACCTCAAACCAACATGGAGTAACAGTGATCATACAGAACAAGTAAATAATTACCCTTCTGTCCATCCAACAAGATCCTTTAAAGTACAGGACGGCTGAATCAGTTGCCAGACGCTGCTGAGGAAGGAATTTTCAGTGCCAGAAAAAACAAAGCAGTTTGTGGGTTTAGTTTTATTCCCTCCTCTCTGTGTTCTCCGTCCTTCAGTTTTATTGATGATTGAAATTTTTTCCCTCGAATCAGTCAGATTCTGTGGTGTTTCTTTTGTGTGCAGTAGCATTGGTCAGCGCGGCACACGTTGTACCGTATCTTACAGTAAAGCCGAGAGACTTGTTCAAACAAAGATGAGGCGAGTTGATCTGTTGTTGGAGAGACGTGAAACCATGGAGACCATGGAAACTGCTCTGCTCTGCCGCATCTTTGTTCAGCGGCTGCCGTGGGAGCCTGGCAGCGCGTGCTGCCGGGGTGGGGGAAGGAGCCAAGGTCCCTGTGCTGACCCCAAGGGCTGTCTGCATCTGGGGAGAACTGCTGACTTCTGGGGCACCTGGGTGTGCCACACAAAGTGTGTGTCATGCTGCGAGATGGACTGGAAACTCAAAATCCTAGAGGGTGATTTGCACACTTGGCTCTTTATTGTCCCTCCTGTGCCGCACTGTGGCCCAACGGGCCTATCTGGGAGACAGTGGGGAGTGGAACTATTCATATTTCCAGTGCCCCACATGAGAATGGTGCCTGCCCAGTCTTCTGGCCTTAGCCCAGAGGGGAATTGGTAATAAGTGCGAAGGTTTCATGCTCCGAAGGGAGAGCGTTCTTTGCTGGATCGGAGATCACACACCACAGGGACTGACTGTTCCACCACCCATCCTGCCTCTCAGGGCAGGGCAGCAGCTGTCATGAAGAACTTCAGCAGAAGGTGGTGTGGTTTGATTGACCAGTCACTGGTAGTTGTAACGGGTGTTTGCACTTCCCTCTGAAGGAACAGAAACAGCAGCGAACCCCTCCAGGCCAGGTCTCCAAAGCATCTAAGTACAATCTCAGTGACTCTTGAACAGGAGAGAGGTCAGTGGAATTGCGGGGCTCTGGATGGGCAGCGCATTGTTAACACCTTTTGGAGGAGGCAGGGCTCCGGCAGTTCTGTGAGCCAGTTACATGCAGGAGCATTTCATAATAACCCCTTATCATCTGTCACTACTCAGGATGTACCAGGACCTCCCACACGGAAAGTGCAGGTTTCCATTACTTACTGTTTGCAAACCCCTTGTTGCAGGAGAGAAGAACCACACCAAACAAACACAGTGCAGCAACCAGCCCGGGAGCCCCAGCTGCTGCGTGGGCACTTGTCTGCCCGTGTCCCCTTGGGCAGAGCAGCACAGTCCGCTATAGCCACGGCATCGCACCAGCACCTATGGTGGGCCAGAGAGGAGGGGGAGAGGGCTCAGGCAGCAAACTGCCAGCGTGGGGATGTTACAGTGTCTTCTTCTCACATCCTCCTCCAATCCTGTACAATGAGAATTCTGTCACGCCCAGTGGATTTGACCTGTACTCCCCCACTTCTTCCTTGATGTTGATTTTTTTTTTCTGGGATGATCACACCAAGCACAGCACTAACTCCTTCGTACTGCTTGTGTTTTGTGTTTCTTTTGGTCCCTCAGGGTGTGGGTGGACAAGCATTCACCATCTGAATGCTTTACAAAGGAGAAGGGACATCTTGCTGGGGGTTAGGTAGTCATGTCTTCATGTTGTTGGACAAGAGTTGTGTGTCCTTGGGCCTGTAGGTGAGTTTTGCCATCTCTGCTCAATATGAAGAATCCAAGGCTTGGAGACACTTGCCATGATCCTGTTCCCACTAATGTCAAGGGAGGCAAGAGCTGACCTTGACTCAGTCGTGAAGTGGGAGTTTCTTCCTTTTCTGTCATCACCTTACAGGGAATTCCAAGCCAAACTGTTTCCTTTTCAGAAGCAACAATCCAATCTGTTAGCTGTGAAAACTGTTTCTCTTTCTTCATCCTTGCTACGTGTTCCTCTGTGTGAACAAAAGGGTGTTCTTGTCGCAGGGTGTTGTGAAGTGCCTGAGCTTTTGCATGAAGCATCAGTGGAAACATGCAAAATTTGGTTGCGTGTGAAGTGTACTGCAAGGTCACAATTAAGTGATTGGGAAAAACAAACAAACAAACAAGACCCACGGACATGACTCAAGCTGCTTATTTGAATAAAGCCCTAAATGTTTACTTTTAAACTGCACTCTTTAACATTTTGTAGTGGTATATTTGGTTGATGTAACATAAGCAGTTCTCTCTAGAAAAAAATTTTTGTTCAAAGAGACCAGGTGGTTACATGTACTTGTGACTCTGAAGTGTGGGAATACAGCATAAATTATATCAAGTTTGTTGCAGCACGCTTCTTCTTGCATTAAATGTGATTTTTTTTTTCTCTCTCTCTTTTTCAGACTTAACCAACATAATGACTGCTGAACATTAAGGGAAAACACAAGAAGGTTACATGTTTGGTTGTCTAATACTCTTGGATTTGATATGAGTCACCTCATCTGTTCATTAGTATCATCAACAGCATCCCAGTTTGTATGCACATTATTCACATTCCTATCTGTTGTGTTTGCAGAAATGACATTTTACCCTTTTTTCTAAGGGTTACTTTTTGATTTTACTATTATTTGGTTGCATGAAGTTGCCCTTTACCAGTGGCTGAGGTTTATGAAGATACCGCCTACTTGAACATGTTTCAGATTCCTTTTCTAGATAGAAAAGGTGTAACTCCAAATTATATCATTCTAAATCAGCATTTTTTAAAACCAAGTTAATCTTAGAAATGAGTCCCCTCCATACAAGATTACAACAATATCTTCCACCTACAAACATAATTTTAAATCTCCCTATATCCATGCTTTGTTGATTTTTGATCAGTTTTCAACATAAAAAAAAAAATTCTCCTTCAGTTGAGATCACCGCCAAGTTCAATAATGTAATAAAATACCTTTCCTTATTAGAAGTACCTAGCTAGTTATACTCTTAATACTTCTCAAAATCATGATGTAATGTACACTATCTGACTTAGTTCCTATATGTGGAGTTAGTGAAAGTCTTTTTGTGTTTCTTTAGATTAAGACAAGGATTTTTTCCAATGCCAACACAATTTGAAATCATTCATTTGGATGCTTTCCATTTTTAAGCTTACTGTGATATAGAACCCTATGGGAAACCAAAAGAAAACATCAATTTTAAATAACGAAAGGCTTAAAAAAGGATGCTGTCATTCTGGCTTTTTTTTTCCTTTTGGAAATAGAACTAGACTAGTAAGTAAGCATTCCAAATCCATTATTCTGTGTACATTATTGTTGCTATTGTGATAATAGAGATTTTTATTTATTTTTATGCCAGCTTTTATTGTGAAAACATATTTAGTCTGGTTTTATCAATCCTTGTTATGCTTGTCCTTGGAACATCTTTTGCGTATTCAAGGTTTGTAGTTGACGAGTTTACTGTAAAAAACTAAAAAAAAACCACAACAAAAAAACAAAAAACAAAACAAAAAGGAAACAAAAAAATGTATTGTTTTTACAGAATAAATTTATTGGAATGTGTATTGGGAGTAAGGTTTGAGGTTGTAAGCAACTAAGTTAGCGTCATATTTGGCTTCATACGTGTAATAATGTGAGGTATTAATGTAAGTCAAGTATTAAAGCAAAACATTCTGTTAACATGAGTTGACCATAATAGATACAAGTGCAGGTGAGATCTTTTATTTTTTTCTGTACTTTGCCTTTTCTGGATAACAGGAGGTTATTAAATTCACCTTGAATGTATTCAAAGTTTCTTTAAAAACATTAGAAGTAACATCAGAGGCTCAAATACCTTTTTGGGAGACAGTGTGTCCTGTGACAGCCCAACAGCTCTGGGTTTGTTTTCTTGGGAGGACGTGCTGGGATGGAGCTATCCCGAATTCCAGCGTAGCTGGAAGCAGCCCATGCCAGGGAGGCTGGGCGCTGGAGGAAATCATTGCTAAGTTCCTTTTTACCCAGAAGCATTGGTAAATGCTGAGACATGTTGTGGTTATTTTGGACCTCCCCCTGTGGCTGGGGGTGTTAAACCGTGGGCTCTCTCTTCCGAGCACTGCTGTGAGCTACACCTCAGTGTTCATCGGGAGAGCGTTACCGCGTGCATTTCCTGCTGCTCTGAAAGTCCCCTTCTGCAGGGTGCAACACGCAGGTGCGTGAGCTGATGTTTTCTAATTACTGATTAGGTTTAAAAAGACATTTAAAATTCTCTAAATCAAAACACCCAAAAATCAACATCCCAAAATAAAGTGTTTCCAGTTAAAATGTATCAGCTAATTTCATCTGCGAGAAAGGTCCTAAATGTACTGCTTCTGCTATAAATACACACAGAAGTCACAGAAATAGTTGTCATTGCAAACAGAAACATAAACTATACAAACCAAGGTCGTTGTATTTGCTGCTACTTGCTTCTGACCCAAAAGCAAAAGTAGCTGCAGAGAAGAACACGGCCAAACCCCCTCCTCTCTGAAAATGCATGCTACAGCCTAAGGCCTGCTTGACTGTTCAGGCTCACGAGCCCTCCCTGCCCAGTTCAGAAGTCCTAATAAGCACGTGCTTAATTTCAAGGACACAAGTGGTCCTTGTCAAAGTGAATCCCTAAAAGAATTAACAAACCTATATGATTTGCTTATCATATATGGAGTCTTACCGTAAGAGTCGATTGCTTCTTAAAAGATTTCTTGGGGTTTTTAACAAGGCTGACCCACAGACATACTTTTTGACAAATAAAACGTGTGCATGTGACAGAGTTATGTATGTTAATTTTTGACACTTCAAAATACTGACCTTCACATTCTACAGTAGCTCTGTATAAGCACTGCTAGCACTGATGTTTTTCAGTGTGCGGAGGCTAAACACTGACATCATTATTATTATTTAACTTCATGCAGTATTTCTAAAACTGTCAAAGCAGCTTACTTAAAAATAGCTATGGAAACTAGCAACTCCACTGCAGCGCAAAGTCAAGATGGTGAGAAGCTGTACTGAAGGCAGTTGTCTTTATTTTCCCTTTTTGAGTAGGAGAAACAAAACAGACCATGCAACTTTACACAACTGTGCAATCTTACACATCTTACACGCTTCATCTGGGTTCCGTTCGAGCAGTTCAGTTACATCCCAACCCAACTATATACATCGCCAAAAAGAGGAGCTAAAACCAGTTGTGCTACTCCGTTTTTTCTTCTTGTTTTGTTTTCATAAAAAACTCTGGCTTGTTGACACACCTGTAAGCCAGCAGCTGGGGAAGGATGCCGTACGTTATGTTCAATATCAGAAAATACTGTTTTGCTTCTTCGGGGACTCTGTAGATGTAAGGAGTTCGAGCATGAAGAGAAGCACCAATATGGGAAAACTGAGCCTGTGGTGTATATATAACATACATATTAAAAAAGGTAACACTGATGGATATTTTGGAAAGACAGCATAATCTTCATGCAACTGTGCATCTCCAGGGACATTTTCCAAGCCAGCCTTTTTATTCCAGAATTATCCATCGTACTTTTGCACAGTGGTATAAGAATACAGTCTAAACTAAGGTCATTAATATCTTGGTATAAGAGGAACTGTCAGTTCCATGGTGGGAGGTGTATTTTATGCACATAGTGGCGCTGATCTTTACATCAGGTACAGGATTTCACCCTTGGTTTACAGGACTATTCATGCATCAGGGACCATGTGCCTTCCCCTGGAGTGTGCATCACTGCAGAGATCTGCACGCCTAAGCCTGAGCCCAGCAGTGGCAGTAGGACTCGCGTCCATCCACCTGGGAATGTTGTGTTTGGCATCAAAGGGAAGCAGACACTCACTCACTCTGCATGAAGCTAGAAAATAAAATCTTGGAAGCTGTGTTAGGGGTTTTTTCTTTGGTTGGTTTTGTTTTTTTTTAAATCTGAAGCCCAGTCTTCCAGATTCTGAGCCCAGAACTCCTGATGACTTCAGAAAACGTCTGTGATATTTGGCTTTTGGGCTGGGGGTGCTTTTGAAGTATAGGTTAAGTTTACAGTGAAGGTTATATGCAAAGACAAGCTTGCTGGGCTGAAGCATATTTTTAGCATAAACAAACATTTAAAGATAGAAGCGTCAGGGTAGTCGCTGTCTTTTGTCTCCATCTGTTACCTGCTATTTCAAGCCACAGCTTGTTCACATTAACTATTGTGTGTCCATTTTTTTTTAAATTTAGTTAGTTTGCAGTGGAGGAGATCTCAGAACATAAACATCAGTTTGATCTTATGCAGAGCAGGAGTAAGGGACACCAGGAGTTTAGTAACGCAGAGAAGTACCCTACAGCCAAATCACATCCTCTGTTCTGGCTTCAGCAGGGCTTATTTTGGACTCACAAAAAACACAGTTTTGTTCACAGTTAGTAAAGTAGAAAATGAAATACAGTGCAGGTGTTTTAGTCCACACCCCTCTAGCAAAAGGTTAGGCTGAGACCCAACATGAAAACAGAAAAGGAAATCAGTTTTCAGGTGATTCTAACCACCTCCACTTAACAGAGAGAGCTGATCTAGCAAACCTGAGTAATCAAAGAAATCAAATACAAACACACTTCAGCAGAGTGCCACTTAGCATGTTTCTGTAAATAGCTATTACACAGTTAACAGATGTTCAGGGGCACGCTATCAGCAGCCTTTTTATATCAGCCCCATAATTCACTCTGTCTTTTGCAGCCTCTTTGTTCTCACCTGTCTCAGCCAGGAACTGCTTTTGGCACCTGGGTGGTCTTGCTTGGATCCCTGCTACCTCGCCTCGGGAGCCATCTCAGCCCAGGCAGCCAGCACGTTAGTGCTCAGCAGCAAAGTCCTCTGCTATTTGAGGTAGCAGTTCCCCAAGCAGAGAGCCAGCCACCATCAGGCTTCAGGTAGGAGGTTTGGGGTGTCTGATGTTTACCCAGACACTAACAGCCTCCTGGTAGAACCTTAGAGCCTCCATGGGGGTGAACAAGATGCTAAGCTACCTACTTCTCTACAGAGGATTGCCAGACCTGTCTGTCTCCAAGAGTGGCCAGCTGTGCATCATAGTAAGTTGACAGTAAATTTATATATATATAACTTTATTTATAAAGTTCATAGTAAAAATGCCAGAAAAAGCTGTAAGTGGCTGCTTCGGAGAGACTCAGAATTCCCAGAGCCTCCTAGACGTCTTTGAAGATGTAAGCCTTATTTGTGGTCTTGTCTCTTACAAGAGTTGTGGCACATTAGTGAGCTTTAGAATTATAAAGAGAAAAAGCAGAAACATCTTGTTCTATTTGTAGCCCATGAAGATTTTTACTAGCTAATGAAGCACTGTATAATGAAGTTACTGTTTATTAGACTTGTTTTTCAATATAACACGTTGCTTTTCCTTTCATTAACAGGGAGGATATTTAGGCCTGTTAAAGTAACTTTTTTTTTTCAATTTTATTTGCTAATGTGGAAATTGTGTTATGCCTTTAATCTCATGTGTTTCCTTTCCATGACTGTACTCTGCTTCTGCTTCCCCTCCACCACCCTTGGTGCAGGTGGTGAGTCTGAAAAGTGGATCTCGCTCTCTCTCACCAGTAGCCCAGTCCTGTTCTTCCTTCAAGTAGCAGCCAGGCTTGCACCAAATCCATCATTTTAAGCAGTAAAACAAGAGCTGTTAGTTACTGCACGTCTCTGTGCCTGTTATGCAGTAGGCTGGCATTGTGGCAAGTGAGAGCAACCTTGGCTCTGTTGGGTTACCTCACCATGATCAGATCCTCTCAGCAAATAAGCCATTCCTTGATGCTTTCTGTTACTGAACCCTCTCTTAAGTGGAGAGTTTTGAGAGTCAAGCCCCTAGACCTTGGCTGAGAAATAAACCAAGTGAGATGCTGCAGGTAAACTTATAAGGTAGCCTTATTTGTTTAACATATAGCCTCTGTTAACCTCAAAGCCTTGGCCAGTTTGCTATCGGGCAGTCCCATTTTAAACACACAAAAAACCCCAACAAACCGAAACCAACCAAACAAAAATCACCTCCAATCTGGGGAGCTGAGCTTCTTGATAAATTTGCAAGGTTGTGATAGCCAGCACACTGACTTCTGGTTTACTTTTCCTTGTGCTAAGTAATCTTTGAAGGAGCAGTTACTTTCCTGACTGACTGAGGAATTCCTGAAACCTGAGTAATCTGTCAGTAGGGAGAGGTTCCTGACTCTGGCTTGCCTACTTTAGCCAGTTTGTGCTTTTTTTAGATTAGATTTGGGCCAAACACAGTTGTATGATATTTATGATAACTTCTGAGCATTTAAACCTCCTCATTAATATGTTTTCCAGATTCTGTTTTGATACAATTTGATTCAAGGTTCTCTATAAACTGGTGTGTTTTAAAAACAAACAAAGTAGTCTATTCTCTGTGATAATGGCTCACAAACAGAAAATAAACTGTCACTCCCATGTCCTTACTGGGCAGTTAAGCTGGGTTGTAGTTTGTATCCATGATTGCTGTCTCTGGCCTGGGGAACAAAGTGGTGGTCTGTGTTTGTCTAACAGTGGTACCTGAACTACGCTTATCACCATGTCCTTATGGTCTCATTATTGTTGCAGGATTATGTGCATGTTTTCTGCACTGTCTGGATGCTCAGAGCACATTTCATTTCCTATGTAGAGTACAAATCAATTGTCACTGTCTCAGTTGCGAAACACTCATCTATATGTCATGAGAAGTCTTTTACTAGTTCCTTTTGAAGTTTTTGGTTTGGCCAGTCTTCTCATAACCATCAGTGCCATCTAGTAGCTAACTACAGTTGTTTATTTAGGAGAATCAGAACAGAATGGGTTAAGAAAGTATAATCACTGGTCTGCCTGTGACAACACAAGCCATGTCTTAGTGTTACTGTGGTTTGTGGCTCAGGAGGTTCCCAGTGTTTTATCAACATTGTCAACTGATGTTGTTCATTTTGTGTGACTAGTAGATACTTTTTTCCATTTATCCTTTTCAGGCAACCTAGTTGGCCAAAAAAATATTATGGAAACAATGTATCTTACTGTTTTGTTGGGTTTTGTTTGTTTTTTGTTTTTTTTTTCACATGGTCAACTGTTACAGCTTTAATACAGGCTTCCTTCCTGGTCTCAGCTAAAGAGTGTATGGTGCTTACTAAGGTTTAAATGAGCCCAATAAAAAGATTCAGCAGAAAGAGAGAAGTCTGCTGAAGCAAAAATGCAGTCATTAGAGGCAAATACTAGATTTGATTCTCCACTCTCTTAAATTAGTTTTTTACAGAAATTAAAGGTGATCTGAGTTACAATGGCATAAAACCTGCATGCAAAGATCAAGCCCCGAGGCCCTTAATTTTTCCATAGATCTCTACTTATTAACTTGTAATTCAAGAGTGAACATTTTACAAAGAAATACCTGAGCTAGTCCTCCAGCGTGTATAAGGGTTAAATCGGGCATCCAGGAACAACCAGGCACCAGTAGGCCATACAGAGCAATCACATAGTATGGCACAGAGTAGAACATGTATGCCAGCATCTGCATTTTAAACAGAAATATTAGTTGCTTTGCAGTGTGAGGGAGATGTATTTAAAAATCAGCCAGCTGCTGACTGAGGACTTGAGACTACTCAAAACTACACTCCTGGCAGCAATGATTCCCAGGCCTTTTTGCACCTCTAACTTCTCTGAGAAAAGAATTTCACACCTGGATGCTGCAGACTGGATCCAGCTACCCTAAGGCCTCCACTAATATTGATGGCAGTTGTCTCTTTGCCCCATCCACAGCCATCTCATCCCAGGACATGTTTTCCTACCCCTTGCCATCTTGATACCATGCCAATAAGCACAGCTTGACCTAACTCAGTGTCCAACCCAACATGGGTGTCCATTTTTCAAGCTCCACTGCACTTTCAGCTGGGAGGTGTGAGATACACCCAAGCCACCCCTTTCCCAGAAAGACCAGGTCCAGCAGAGAGATCTGGGTTCTGCTCACTGCCTCACTTGTGAATCCTCTTACTGCTTCAGGCCCTGCCCCCAAGCAGCAGCCAGGGTCGCAAAAGAATGGCAGCCTTGCAAATACTACAAACTAAAGCACAGCCTTCCCTCCTCGGCAGTGCTGGTGTAAATAGGGTTTGTGTTTAAAAAAATAAAATAAAATAAAAAAATCATGTTTTAAGGAGTGTGTGTCACTGGTGACAGAAGCATAACATGAGCTTAAGGAATCTAGTCCTACTATACTCCTTTTTGCTTCATTATTCCAGACTGAAAGTCTGTCTACTTTGCCCTTCTAAGAAAGGGGAATGATCATAAAAAACATGCAGATATGTTATCCGGGATATATTAAAAGAAGCCTTGGTAATTAGGATGTGTAACTCTAGGTAACTGATTTGAATCCAGGTTAATATTATCACAGCGAAGAGCTGGTAGCCTGTGATGGCTCTAGTTAAAAAATACAAAATACTGTTTAACTTGCCATGAACAAATACTTCCCTTATTGATGTTGTCATCTGTGAAACCCATGGCTTGTGCCAGTTAACAAATCACTTCGTAACACTCTATGCTCCACAGTCAATGCTTTACCTGAAGCTTAGGATAGGCAGCAGGATCTTTTATATAAGGCTCGTGAAGTTGAATATATAGCCGGCAGAGATCCGCAGGGCAATCCAGAGCAATCTAAGAAGAATTTTTAAAACTTCCCGTGAACAAAGAATTTGTTCTGAAATGAGCGAACCTGACACCAGTTACCAGCCCTGCAGATCCACCAGTGGTCTGCAGCACTGCTACCCTTGAGTCTTGGGCAAAATGTATTGCAGAGGTGATCCATTTGATCACCAATTAAAAAGCTGAAATGCAGCCTCCTCTCAGCTCCTGCTCAGAGGGTTTGCAAGGAAATGCTGACAGCCTGCTTTAAAGATTTTGACTGGAAGAGAATTCAGTTAGTTGGCTATGCTGTAATAAAAGTATTGATTTGCTCTGATAAACAGACTTTGATCCCAGCAAATGAACTTTCCAATGGAAAATTGCTCAAACAGTGGAAACCAGGTTAAACACCCAATTTTAGGATAGCAAGCAATGAATATAGTCCAAGAGAAGAGTTGCATTGTGGCAAGGTAGCAGTGGAGAACAATGCAGAGAGACAGGTGTTAATTAAAATAATAATAATAGCAAAGCAGAGATTATTGGATTTTACATTCCTATAGAAAGAACAAAGTTCCCAATAAATATGAAGAGAGACCCAGTTGCAAAAGTAGATCCTTTTCATAGTAGCCCTTAAAACTACTAGAAAAATACTACTCTAAAATGAGCTAGCAATCTCTGTCAACAGCTGTCACTCCTAAGTGTTTTATGGCAAGGCACGGTTAATGCCTAAGCTGCAGAACTGAACAGTAAGCTTTGCACAACTTAATTTCATGTGTATTTGTTGTGTGACTTTGATGGGGAAATGCAGAGATTTACAAACAATGGATATTACTCCCTGTTCTTTTCCAACATGGGCATCCAAGAAGCAGGTCTGAGTGGACTACAGTGGATTAAGTTTTATTAGCTTTTTCACAAAATCATGGTTACTTCATCTTACAGAGATGTGCAGTTGATCTCTGTATGTATAAGGCCAGTAAGCAGTTCCTCTTTGCTAAAAGAAATAATAAGGAATTGACTACACTCAAAATCAACAAAAAATTCCTCTGAGAAATGAAGAAGTGGTGTAGCAGAGCCAAGTTAGATGTTAGAGCGTGAGATCAACATTTCCCACATTGAAATTACAGGTAAAACATGATTAACCTGCCTCAGTGGTGCTCTGAAGTAGCATGATCTATAAGAAATAAAGCCATCTGTGACAAGTTAGAAGAAAAAAAATATTTTTGAGGTAAGTTTTCAGAGAAACAGCAGAAGATGACGAGTAATGTGAGCAGCAGAACTACGAAAGGACAATCTGTGCTAGGTAAATAAAATGTTGCTTGGGTACTTATCGTCACCTCTTACTTGAATTATTCTAGACAGGATCAGATCTACAAATCAAGCAAGCAGGTGGCTGTCTAAGACACCTAAACATTTGAGGTCTGGTCAGGGATGACATACAAATTCCCTTCTCCCTAAGACAGAAAATGCTTTAGAGCTGACAAAGGACTAGATTTAGCTACTACTGGATTTATCTACTTGCAGTACTTTCTATTTTCAGTACTGATTCATTCCCTCAGAAATTTTAATTCAATAAACTATGCTTAACAAGTAAACTTTTTTAAAAAGTCAGCTCTTGGTGAGTAGAAACATCATGTGGTTTTTTTTAGGTAACGTGAATAAGTTTGGGTTGTTTTTTCTTTTCAGGTGGAAATATTCTCTGTCTCATGTAGTGTAAATTAACTTGGTTTCCTATATAATTTTAACTATGCATCCCTGTTTAGAAAACCATGAGTACATATTTAATTTAGTTGGTTTGTCTCCATGTTCTTGGACATAAATGTAATATCAAACCAATGAAAACAGTTTTAGGTCATGTTGATCTGCACTTGGGATGCTATTTACTCTTGTGACTGTGTACCTGCTTTTTTTTGGAACGTATACTTCACTCAGGGCAAAATGGTGAAGCCAAGCACTATTATTTATCATAAATAATCAAATTGTCCTTTAGATATCTAAGACCTATTCCAACCCTGAAAGTCACAGCATTTCCCTTAACCAAAATGGACATACTTTTTCACACAGACACAATGATTTCAAATTTTAAAGCTTGACTGAAAACTAGAGGCCAGAATATTAAAATATCTTCAACTTACCATGCCCCTAAATATGCAAAACCCCGTTGCTAGAATGAGGTATGCAGCTAACATTAAATCTATTGGTCGTCTTAAGAGTCCTTTCTTCTGGACTTCCTGAACCACCTGCAATACAGAACATGTTCAGTAAGTACACCCCAGTTCCACATGACATGCACTTAACTCCAGATCAGTAACTACAAGAAGGGTGAGTTGGTGATACATTGTGATAGAAGCAGTGAGTTCTCAGTTACCTTAACCTACCTACCCACTGATTTCAGAGATGGAAAGATTTCCCTATCTAAAAGGGTGACTTCAGACTTTATAGGATGCAGTGAGGAAGATTAATCTGAGCAAACTCTAGAAATGGACAGATCCAGCTAAAGCCATTTCAGTGCAGATGAACTTACTTCCAAAGCAACCAAAATCAAATGAACACTAACTCTGAAATCACATAAGGCTTTAAAGCAGCATAACTAACTTCTTCAATGTTGCATCTTTTGTTAATCGGAATGAATTAATTTTCCCGGATGTCTATGTAGAAAAGCTCTGGAAACAGAGGTTTGTCTCAAACATTTGCATTTGAATTGAATACAATTTGTAAAAGGACTGTTTGGAGGACAGCAAAATGAAGGTCCATCTCATTATTGACAATGAATGCTGGTTTTCAGCAGCCTGTGACACAATCAAATTAATGGAGTATCAGTGGCATAAAAAGCTTTCATGTGGCCAGTTTAGTTCTCTGCTGAGTTCAGTGAGCAAATAATACATCTTAGTATGTAATGCAGAAATAGAGAATGAAATGTGTTATGTGTATGCAGCATGTAGAAAATCCTCCTTTTGTTCTTTTATTACTGTATGCTGTGGATTCCCCTAATGGGCACTGAAGCACTTTTCAGCATCTGGATCTTGATCTGTTCTGTGCCTCCTTTCCTCAGCCTCGGAACAGGAATCCCCTGGCCGCATTGTGTGGGCAGATGTGAAGGGTTCACATGCTATGGTAGCAAAGGCCATATAAATATCTACGATGGATGGTGGAAGATGACTTGGAGGAACCAAAGTCATCGCTTTGCCAACATGGTAAAGCTTACAAGACCCACAGGAATAATTTGAGGTAGACTTTCAGCATTGTGTAGTCACAGACAAAGTTATAAGCACATCAGAGTATCGGTCTGTAGTTCAGAGGGAAAACTTCCCCGTTTATATGTTACTCATTTCCCCTTCCTTTTTATTAGCCATGTGTTGGCATGCAGACAGCAAAAGAAAAACCTGATTTCCTTCCTTTTATACACTTGTGGAATTGTCTCCAAAGCACAAAACAATAATTAGGATGTAGAGGCACAGTTAAAAGCACTCAGGATCAAGATACTCACAATAAAGTTATTGAAACAGGAGAACTGATCTTACAAGCACAATTCCTGAGTAAGAACTGCAAGGTCCAAATTCTACTTTAACAAAAATAAGGCCATTTTAAGCACATAGGCCATCCCTTTCATAAAACTATTTATTTTTTCTTTTAAAGATTCTTTTTCAGAAAAAAAAAAAGTGCCACCTTTGTTTCCTTATTTTCCAAACACAAATAGCAGGTCTGCTTTGGCAGTATGGTGTCACTTCACATTATCTGAAGTACTAGTATAGGAATAGTCATAATATTACCTGCAAAGAATATCTATATTCTAATATTTGTTCCTATGAAAGACAAAGGCCTCCCATGGCTGCTGAGTTGCAAGTCACTTTCAGATGTAGACTACCTAAGGATAATGGAAAGTTTGAAGGTTGATATATTTTCTTTCCACTTTTGTCTAAGTATGAAGCTTATACATATGTATCATTCCTCCTTTCAAAAGGTATATTAAATGAATGTGCATATTTACTGCGATCACAAAACTACAATAGAACTTTGTACTTAGAGGTTTTGGAGACAGGCTAGTATTAGTGGAAACAACCTTTGGTGCAGTATGAGTTTGTGAAATTGCTAAGGTACAGAAAATTCGCTTTTTTTCTCTAGACATACATTTATGCAAACAAAATGAAAATGAGAAGCTTGAAAAAAGCAGAAGGAAGAATTTGAAAGGCAGTACGTGCTTTGCTGACAGACCTCGCTGCGTAGTAATTTTGCCTTACCCTTCTTTTACACAGCAAAGTCACATCAATGCATGCTGACATGAATGACGTGTCAAGTACACTGGCCAAGTAGAGGTGGCCTGCCACAGCTTCCCCATTTATTGCAAACAACACTGAACTCTGCACGGATCTCGCCAACCCTGCTGTTTCTTTTGTGTAGCAAGGAAGTGTGCAGGCACGCTTTGTGATAGCTCTCACTTCCAGGAAAAAGCTATTTTCCATAACTTCATAAAACATGATCAGTTTTAAGGAATCGGGATAATCTTGTGTGCTGTCCAGAGAAGTCAGTCCCTTCAGAATTCATGTGCAAATTTGCATTTATGTGTATTCATTCTGTTAATTAATTTTAAACTACATTAAACCTTTCTGAGCTGATACGCTTGTAGATAAATCTACTGGGCTTTGTAAATACTGCAGCACAGCTTGGTCTGATTCTAAGTGAGGGCGTAACTCCTTTCCTCTCCCATGCACCCACCTCTGTCAGAAAACACCCAAAACTTGATTACATCATCTCTGGACATGCAGTGATTTTTAATTTTTTTTTTTTAACTAACTGGTTTATAATTATATAGCAATGAATACCTTGGCCAACAGACTATACCTTGCCTCCGTTGCTTTCATGTGAGTATTTTTCAATATACTTGCACTCTCATGTTTAAAAGCATTATTACATTTTCTTCCTAAATCTTTTAATATCAACTCTGAATAATGATAGCTAAAAATGTATAACTTTACAGCTAATTGCAAGTGATCTGTTGAAAGAGAACTAAATATTTTCAGGACTTACAATAATTAGCTAACTGATTAGTAGCATTACACATAATTATTTCCTGGAAACAATAATTAATTTAGGACTGAGAGTTGTATAAAAAAAATAAGAAAAATTCAGGAGTAGTCATGTTAAGATTTAAAGGCATTTTAAAGTGTACAGATATTTAACCCAGGTATTTATGCTCTGATATGAAGCATAAATTAGCTGTGAATATAAAATATTACTTCTGAAAAAGAAATTCCTTAGGAAGGGTAGGAGGCCCCAGTGAAAGGAATCAAGGCTTTTTCTATGACCTTCTGAACAAGGAAGTTTAGGTTTACAAGAAAGGATTCAGTAAGAAGTGCAATGTTAAATTTTCAAATAATCATCTTATGCACTCTGGTTTTGAAATAAAATTTAAAAACTGAGTTTCTCTGGAATATATAGCAGAGTAAAATATTGAACATAAGTAAGCAGTTTAGCTCCTGATAAGCATGGGAGACATGGCTGTATTTCAGCAACTAAGCAGTCCATCGAGTATAACAGCAATTTCTGGGGTGTTCTCAGTAACAGAAAAACAAACTGAGACCTTCATCCTCCAGGCAAAGGATGTTCTCACTAATACACATAGCAAAAATCGCCATCACTACCTTTAACTACATTTAACTTCTCTACCCTCATGACTCTAAAGAATGTGTTTCTGGCCAGAATTACTGATGCCTTTAAGTAAATCAGCTCCAATTGCTTTGGGATGGGATAGTGGTTTCTTATAAGCCTGTGCAGGAGGGCAGAAGAGGGTTTGGCACCAGAAGTCTCCCCCAATTTGCCTCTCATAGGGACTTGGCCTAAAAATGGTGATTCTATAGTGTTTCCTCAAACTTCAGGAGATACAAACATCTGTCTATACCTCTCTTTCCTACTGAAGAATCGTGAATGGCTGGCTGAATGTTCCTTTTCACACATTTCTGGGAAAATCCGTCAGTGCATCATCTGCTGTTACTCTTTGCCATTGGCTACTCCCCTTGCACACTGCCCACGAGTTATGGAATAGGAACTTAACTCCTTCATCTGCGTCTATGTTTTCAGTTACAGAATGAACCTGACTGACTCAGGAGCTCTTGTGATGCAAAAATATTAACTGATTATATTACAACTGATATGGTGTGCTGTGGCAATAAACTGGCTTGCTTATAGCAACAGAGTTAAAGATCTCTTCTGTGCTTTGTACTGCAGGCATTTTCTTTAATATAAAACAATGCATAAACTATTATTGCATTTTTTGATTGCTCAGTTAATCTTATTACAGCCCAGCTATTAAACTCAAAGGTCTAAGGACTTTTAAGTAAACATTTTTATAGATTTTTTTTTATTAAGTAAAAAGTGTGTAAATAATTTTCATATCAATTAGTGTACAATGTCTTACCTGTAAAGTCTAATATTGCAGTATGCACATACAAAAAAATTATTAAATTACATGAAATCTGTAAGTCATCTGCAGAAGAATACTGTGGAGCTTCTATAAGGATTTTGTATTGCTTTATGAAGCTGGTATATGTCAATATTTTCATCAGCTAAGAAATTTAAACAGTCAGAAACTGAATAGATAGAGGGTAGTAACACAATTACACCTAAAAATGAGTTCTTTATACAAGAGGTTCTTTTGCTTTTTCTTTAACCCACCATAATGAAATGGTCCTGCAATATAGATATTTTTACAGCATCTACACAGGCTGGCAGCAATTGTCATAACAGTGAATAGTTACAGTACATTCCACGGTCACCAAGGGACCTATAAAACTCAGTAGAAACAGCAAGCATATATCAGTTTTCCTAACAGTATCCACCACTCACATACAATTATATTACCTTGACTGGAGCGTCACGAGTCACCGAAGGTTGGTTATAAATTCGGAACCCAGCCCATATGGGAAGGCAAATATATGGTACACTCAAGAAAAAAGCAGGACACACTTTTGTTCCGTATTTGCCTGTTAAAAAAATAATTGTAAGATGTATGAGAATTTGTAAGCTGTGTTGCAGAAGGGTTAAAAAATATCCTATGTAATATCAAACCTATGGTAATGTAAATATAAAACATCAGAAATTGCTGTTAAAGTAACACACAAATCTTGTTGAAAATAATGTGCTCAATAGTGATGGAGTCAGAGGTGACAGAGAGCCGCTTGGACAGGAAGCCATTTCAGAAATCAGGGGGTTTTTGAGGGGACAGGAAACCACCCCTGTTGCTCTGCAGTAGGTAATCCTATAGGATGGGACATCTTTGACATCTCTTAATGGAACCTGCTTCCAATAGAGAAATCCTTCTTTTAAAAATAGAAAATTTTAATTTATCCATTTTTTAAGATCTAATATAGCATTTGTTTTCCAAAGTCCTGATTTCTCCTACAGGCCTGTACAAATATGTAAGGAGAAAACATATAGTCAGAGAGTTATCTGCAGCCCAGGTATATCAGGAAAAACTCTTTTACACTGGCTGCTCTCTGTCAGAAAGGAAGGCAGAAGGCATGCTCTTGAGAATAAGTTTCTCGGCCTTCCCTAAAGGAAAGAGGAAGAGATATTGTGGCATTAAATCTGCTGACTGTCTTCTCTGTGGCACATGTGTGTATCTGCAAAGAAGGGAACTGGACTGGCCTCAGGCTGCACCATGAACATCCCTCCTCTGTCACAAGAAGTGGGGCCATAGTGAGCTTTGCTAAAGCTGTCTGCAGGATTTGGACACCTGAACATTTTTCTCAGTTGAACACTTATCAACTTTGCATCAATTGAAGCTTTGCTAAAAAGGAAATCTTTAATGGGGGTGGGGGGGGAGGTGGCACCCTTAAAGGACCACCTGTCAGTAATAATGACGTCAAATTTTTTATTCCCATTCCCAACTGCTAGCAGCACAGCTATGCACTGATTTATGTCAGAAATCTAGGAATGTTACATTTATTTTGAAAATAGAGTAACTTCCAGATTTCACTTTTAAAAGTGATTTAGATGCCTCTTGTAAGCTGCTTGAAAGTCAGACTATTAAGTAAATTGTGAATTTTATGCAAAATAAGATTTATATTTTTTGTGGTACTAAGAGACAGTTACCGTCTCATTGCTTAAATTAAACCTGGTTTGGATTAAAGCCTTATGGGTATAACAAAATACAATTTTTTTTTTCCTTTGAGAACAATGTAAATTGAAAGGTTTGGGTTTTTTTTTTTTCCATCCTCCCCACTTCATATTTAAGTTTTTAAATATCTTGCATCTCTGTACTGGTACTCCTCAAATTCCTCTTTCATATTATTATAGAAAGGAACCAATATTGCTGTATAAAATACTGATAGCCTCATGCTGAATTTAGAAAACATTTCACAGGAAAAAGTTAATCATATAAATTATGTCCTTACCCACAATGTTTCCAGGCATAAAGACAATGATGCTCATGATAATGGAACCTAGCCAGTAGAGGCCAATTGTTCTATAGCTTTGTCTGTTTAAAAAAAGACAACAAGACAATTACTGCACCATCTCTAAAAATCCCCTACCCCAAATCACCCTCAGATATTATACTGATTGCCATGGTTGTATCTTAGTAAGTAAAAGTTTTAAAATCTATACCACAATTCACCAGTGAATTCTTGCCTCTGAGGAGGGCATATGGAGAAATCCTACATTCATGTGCTAGAAGGTTATCACATGAACAGTGCAGGATTTGTGCCTACTTAGTTATTTGCCATTATGTTTCTCTAAAATGGCTGAGAGAACGTCATCATCATGCTAAGCAAGACATTATTCTTATGATAAATGTTATTTAAAAAAAAAAAGTTTTTACATAAATGGTTTTAAGGTGCATCCTCTTTAAGCTTCCCTTTTACCTAACACAAAGCATTCAGAGGGGCTGTGCTCTCTGCTGCAGAGTGAAGAAGAGACTGCAACTCAGTGGATTTGCTGCTCTTATTCAGCTGAAAGGGTAACTTGGTGAGGTTTCAATTCCCAAAAGTAACAAAATGTTAATACTGACAATACCTAAGACATCAAACAGTCCTGAAAGAAAAACCTAGATACTGCAGAGAGAAGCAATCCCTTTGTAGGTCATATGAGAATGCAAGCAAGCAGTACACCCATCAGAATTACTTACTCCCATGCAATAGCTGCCACCATCAACAGATACATCAGGTAATGAACGGAGCCATCCCAATAGCAGATCACATGGCCATACGCAGTGTTCAGATAGGGTTCACCCTAAGGAACATTTATTTTTAAAAAGATACAGTGATTAGAGGAAGAATAACAAATAATTAATAAAGAATAGCAGGAAACAATTTCAGAAAAGTAACTGATGTTCTTTCAATCCAGGGGTACAGTTTTTGACTGACAGTGCACGCTTCCAAGCACAAACCTGGTTTAAGTAGGATCAGGTATAATTAAATCAGTTCTACAGCTGCAAAATTGGGAGCAAAATGAAAGGGAAAACTCCTATGTATAATTGTCAGCATTGTTCTGCTATGTTATGGAAATACTTTTCCATATTTTAGTGATAAAAACTACAAAATAAAGATACATTTAACATGGAACAAATAAAGATATATTTAGCAACCTAGAGATCTACAACGGTATTGAATATATCAATGACAAGGTATTGTCATTGTCATATGGGTACCTTCTACACCAATATATATCAAAGGTCCAACTCATTTCACACTAAAGTTCATGGAATCTTTTCAATGACTTTGGTGACTTTCACATGAAGCTCTTACTGAGCTATTTTTGGTGGATGTTGATATTCAGCAGCCAACAGATTCTGCTGACTAGGTATCTGGCATCAGCATTTTTTAACTCTACTTTAATTCCTTTTAGTAAAGTGATTAGGCAAAAATAAAGCAGCAATTTTGTTTCCTTCTTGGTAACACGTTTAGGTACTGCAGTACTCATCCACTTCCGAGTGCTGAGTATCTATGGCTTGCTGCAAACATGCACAGTCTACTCAACTCCCACAGCAGTTAATACAGAACAGCGTTACTTCAACTGAATGAAATAACACTGGAGTTTGAAAGGTATGTTATTTTTTCCAAATGAATCAGTGATTTCATGTCAATGAAGGTTTTGTCCATAAGAACAATGAAACAGGTCAATGACCAAATCCAGGACGACCCTTTTGAACATGTTAGTGGCTGTTTTTTCTGTGACAAATACTACAACAGACTATTCATACTAAAGATTTTGTTTACATTTGTAAGCCAAACAATTGTTTACCTCTCTCAAGTAATGAGTCATGAATCCATCAATAATTCCATCCTGTTCCAGTCCAATTATTAGATTCACTACACTGGTAAAGGCAAATACAGCATAAACTGTAATAAGATAAAGGGAAAAAAATTAATAAATGTATAAAAGACTTGGAATCACACCATGACTTCACAGTCCAACAAATTCAGCCAGGCAGCCATCTATTGAACTAGATGCATCTACTCTGAGGTCACGGATATACAGCATACAATATTAGACTTTCCCACATAGATTAGTATTTTTTAATTAGTGGTTAGTCAACAAAGTTCTTTGGAATATGAAATTCTGTAGAGCTGTATGCACAGCCTACATGGAAAATCAGTGTCTGCAGAAAGGACTAGGTAGCCTTTCAAAAATCTTGGTCACCCAAAGTAGACAAACTTGACTGTAGTCATGTCTTGCAAAGGAGAAAGGACAACAAAAAGGCAGTGGAGAGGGAAATGTGACTTGCCATTTTTGGAGGTGAGCAAGGTGAACTGCATTAGCCACAGCAGTCCATAAGAGACCTCTCTGGCAGGCTAGCAAGTCCCTCCTTTGAGACAGGAAATTTATTTGTGGTAGGTTTATGTTATTTATTTCCTGAACTGATTGTTCCTGGCCTCACACAGAACGCTGGGGACAGACGCCTAGGAGTTGTAATGAGGAGGAAGACAGGGCAAATACAGGTGGTCTGTACCGTGCCTTACCTGTGGGCCCATTTTGTAAAACATAAAAAGAACCCAGCAGTGTTTTTTCTTCTACGTTTTTGCTACAAGGTAATCTAGATCCAAGATTTCTTTTTAAAAGGTAATCAGTACCCCTATTCTTTTATGGCAAAGTATCAATATAGAAATGTCTGCCGAAGCCTGCAGACAGCCTGAGTGAGGAGTTGGGTTGGTCTGAGCTTTCTTGTATATCACAAAGGTGAATTAACACAGAAGCCTACTAAACATGGGAGAATTAAGGAATTAAGTTACAGGAAGAACCAAGCCATGGAGGCCATTGATCCAAAGATCCAAAAATCCTAAATGAGTCCACTCAGGATGAGATATGTGTGAGAGATCTACTGTGGTCCTGCTACAAGGAGGTTCTTAACAGAGCAGGTATGACCAGATTTCAAACACCTTCACAGCCCAACTCAAGTGTTATTCTTTTCAAACAGGAGGTCTGGCTTTTCCCTAAGTCGGATCTCCTATTTGGAAAGAACAAAAAGGTTCAAAAGAAGCATTATTTCTCCTCCTTTTCCCTCAATCTTTCTTTCTTGGATCCTTAGCACTTTATCAGACTGGGTTCTGAAGCCATGCTTTAAATGATCAATCTGAAATAACCATGACATATTATCATTTATATAAATTAACACTTTGTGAATTTAGCTTCATTGTTACCAAGACATACCATAAAACAGCGGGTCTTTTGGTGGTTTTCTTTTGACAAGAACACGAGCCAACAGAGCAATAAAACCCAGAACCAGCAATCCAACTGCAACGATTGCCCAGGAACTGTAACAGTATTAAAAAGAAAAAGAATTAAAAGAAAGAGAAAGAGACAGAATTTTCTTTCTTCAGCTTTTCTTACCAGCTATCTTCTAATCCACATACTCTTAAAGTAACTTTTAATACTTTAAAAGGCTGTTTTTAAAGTCCATCACACAGTCTGCCATAGTATTCATTTTATAGTTTTGCAGAATTTATGTGCCTGTCTTTTCACACGTGATCATCTAAAAAAAGAAAATACTAAAATAGCTAGATAAACAACATATCCAGGAGTCTAGATCTGTCTGACTGAAATCAGTATTCATACTGGTATTTGCAAAAATAAACAAAAATTATGGAAAAGTTAAAGGTCAACGAGAGGTGAAAGTCACAAACACAGAGACTCCAAGGCCGAAAAGGATCGTTAGGGACATTTAGTCTAACCTCAGCAATAAATTATCTGCTCGGGAAATTACGTATTCACAAATAAAACACATCAGTCCCATGGAATAGGAGTGGTAGTGTGGAATGCCTATGATGGAGCTAGGTTTAATTTCCAGTTTTGGAAGTGCTACCAATGGTCTCTCTGGCCCTATAAGGCAAGATCGCTTGTGGGGCTTAGTAATAAATGCAGGTGGGCTCCACAGAAAAGACCTCTTCTCTGAAGACGGGGCCTTTAATGTTAATGCATATAAAGTGGTGGTGGAGGAAAGCACAAACATCTTTGGCACAAAGTAAATTTGTCTCCTTCCCCAAGAAAACGTGAGTTAAGAAAATCAGTCTGAAATTGGTTTAGATCTCTAAGTGTGCAAATTGTATTTAGCTCTTTTTAAGACAGACTTTTCTTCTCAGTCTTCACTTTTGTGCTTGTGAACGGGGGAAAAAAAAGGAGGGGGAAGTTAGGTAAAAGTCCAGAAGCATATGCTAAAAATATTTGGCATATGATTATATACCTGGTACCACTCTGTGTATCAAGAAAACAAACTGTGTACCAACAAATAATACTGACGGTGACAATTCCAGCCTTAGTGAAACTTCACTTAAAATTCTTGCAAAAAATTTGGAAGATCAAATGTTTCAGAATATATCCACACATGCTTTCTGAGTCAGGATGAGCAGTACTAGCTTGTTGATTTATTTTATGGTTTGACTCTTCTGCTAGTCTGTTTTCCCAGTGATGAATTTCTTCATACCATTACAGCTGTTAATATTGCAGTGACTTTTCACTGCGGTCTATCAATTTGAAATAAATATTGGCAATGAATCAAGTAAGTCAGCATGTGTTATTTGACATTTCTCTAGCGGTGAGAAACAAAAAACTAAGTTATCGGCCAGAAGGAGGAAAATGAGGAAGGAACAGATGTAGCAAAGCCTTAAAAACATGCAGCAAATATTTGTGCAGTAAAGTTGCAAAACACCCCAGGCTGTGAGACCACAAAATACCACACGGACCTTTAAGTACGTTGGGTTTTCCGTGAGAAAGGCTCTTTCCTTTCCAGACCTGCGGTTTATCCTGGGATCCTATTTTTTGGCAGAGCGGGCGCACAGTGACATTTTCAGTTAAAACTCGCCCGTCTGACAGGCTGGCTGAAGCGGGCGGCCCGGCAGCGTTCTGCGGCCGGTGGGTTCTCCCGTCCGTTCCTCATTAGAAGCGGACTCTGTCTGCCCGTGCCTTGCCAGGGGAGGCGGCGGGACAGCCCCCGGCGCCCGCTGCCCCCGGGTTCAAGGCACGGTGAGGGCGCAGCTACCGCGGGGCCAG